AAAGGTGATTAAATTGCAAATAAAAAATATCACAAAAGGCTAGAGAGATGGCTCAGCAGTTAAAAGCACTGGTTGCTCTGTCTTAGTCAGTGCTCTATTGCTGTGAATAGATGTCAAGACCTCAGCAACACTTTTTTTTTGGTGAGGAGAGACAGAGTTCAAGACAAGGTTTCTCTGTGTAACAGCCCTAGCCCACCCAGGTGGCACACTTCATCCAACAAGGCCATACCTCCTAATCCCTCTGATGTTGCATGAATTCTAAATGGTCTTGTAATAAAAAACCTGGAGCCAGATATTTGGGTAAATGCTGAAAGATCAGAGAAACAAAGGAACAAGCCATTGCTACTTCTAAGTCCTCAGCGAAAGCTCTCCAGCTGAAAAGCTTTAGTTCCTGTCTCCTCACACCTTATATACCTTTCTCCATCCAGCCATTTCACTTCCTTCCTAGTGCTGGGATTAATGGCATGTGTGCTTCCCAAATACTGGTAGCAAAGGCATGAGATCGCAAGTGTTGGGATTAAAGGTGTGTGATTCCCAAGTACTAGGATTAAAGGTGTGCACCACCACTGCCTGGCTGATTCAATCTCATGTAGTCCAGGGTGGCTTTGAACTCACAGAGATCCAGATGGATCTCTGCCTCCCAAGTGCTAGGATTAAAGGTGTGTGCCACCACTGCCTGGCCTCTATGTTTAATCTAGTGGCTTATTCTGTCCTCTGATCCTCAGGCAAGCTTTATTTGATAAACAATGTATCACCACACTCTGAAGTAGCACTACTCCCTAATGACCACACATTTAAATCTAATCTATGAGCCTATGGGGGCCATTCCTATTCAAACCACCACACTCTTCCAGAGGATCCAGGCTCTATTCCCAACACCTACATAGCAGCAATAACTATATGCAACTCCAGTTCCAGAGGACCCAATACCCTCCTCTGACCTCTACAGGCAACTCACACACATAGAGCACAAATATACATGCAGGCCAAATACCCATACACATGAAAGAAAAACAAATAAACTACACACACACACACACACACACACACACGCACACGCACACGCACACGCACACGCGCACACACACACACACACCAGCCTGGTATAGTGGCACACGCCTTTAATCCTAGCACTCAGGAGGTAGAGGCAGGAAGATCTTTATGAATTAGAGGCCAGCCTAGTCTATATAGCAAGTCCAGGACAGCCAGAAGAACTACATAGAGAGAATAATACCAAAAATACCAAAGAAGAAATTACATAGGTCTTGTATAATATTAGCGGGAACAGCCTTAATATTATACATCCCAGGGGCTCAGGAGAGAGAACTACTAACGGCGAGGACTATTTTCAGGAAATAGAATCTCAGCACACCGAGCTCTATAGTCCACTTGCTTTAATTCCTCTGGCATAACATCCTTTATACCCAGTTTCAGTTCTCATGTCTAGCTCCTTTCTTGCCTGATTTCTCTCTGTATTTATCTACTGCTTCCTCTAAGTTCTATCTTAATTCTCTTGTCTTAACCCTGCCTCATCTAGGTCCTTTTCATCTTGTTCTTACCCAGCTAGTACTTCCCCATCTGGCTCTTCCTCATCTTCCATCTCGTTCCTCTAGTACTCTCCTCTAGCCCTTCAATCTAATTCTTCCCCATCTCAGTTTGTTCCTCTCAAGTTCTTACCCGTCTAGTTCTTCCATTCTCTTTTCTCTTCTCTGTCTCCCTGTGCCCTGGAAGTCCTGGTATATAAAGCTAGGCTTCCAGGGTCAATCAGAGGGTTGATAAGAATCACATGGGGAGCCAATAACCGTTAATTATCATTTGCAACCCCAAAGGGAAGTGACCAATGGGGAAATGAATTAACTAAAGGCTAAATTTGGGTAATATCTAAGAAGAGGGAATCTTACGTGCTCAACTATAGTCTTAAACGTGATTAGTAGAAAATGTTAAGAATCTATAAGTTGCTAGGTCCATGGGAGAAAATAAAACTGTCTTCTTTTTTCCTGTGGCTCCTATCTGTCCAAGCTATCTGCCGTTTTTCTGCAGGGTAGGGGAAAGTGTGCTCAGTCGCTAGGCAACCTGTGTACAGCTAGATGCCTCTGGTGATAGTTAAAGGGAGATCTGGAACCAGAGGTAAGTTTTGGGAAAGGAGGAAGTAAAGCTTAATTGGCATATCCGCCAGGCCTTCTCAAATGGGTAGCCTGGATGCTTAAGTCTGTTCTTAGATGCTTAAGTCTGTTCTTAGAAAGTACGGAGGTATCTCTGATAAGGTACTTTGCTCCATCTGGGAATGGACCTGGCCTGATGTTGCCAATGATGATAATTACAGGGAGGCTTGAACTGGGGTTCTGGCTGAGCATAGCTGTCAGCGCAGAAGGTTATCTAAATATTCCTAGAAGTGGTTAGGTAAGGAGTTAGCGGTCTATAAAGTTAGTAAGGCTGTAAGAAAGGAGGGTCTGAGCTGAATTGTGTAAAGCTATTACTTAACGTCCACCTGACCTAGGTGATGTCTCCTTGTGGAATTTATCTTAAATCAGGAGACTTGCATGTGGACTGTAATTACTGCTAGTCCTTGAAAGTGGCCAAGGGAGATATCTGATTCCAGAGAAGGCCTTTCCTGAGGCTGTCCTCCAAATACCTGGAATGTGTATGTCCAGAGAGTGATCAGTCCACACTGTTAGCCCTTCTTAGGGAAAAATCAATTGGGAAAACTATGAAGGCACACATGATTTTCATAACAGAAGACAGCTGATATATAACAAGCCAAGTAACACCAAAAACTCCTTGGGATTTGGCTTCCTCTGGAGGAATTCCCTGATTCCTCCAGGTAGTGGCTTTGCCATAACCAGCTGAGTTCTTATGATATATTCTTGTGGCCCGCAGCACATATATAAGTATATACCAGTGCAAGTAAGTTGAGAAAGATGACAGAAATCAAGAAAAACTATGTTCATGCTTGAAATTGAACTTTCCCCCTACATTTTGAACAGAGGCCCCACAATTTTGTTTTGAACTGGACCTCACAAATGACAGCACCTCCGTAGAAAACCTCTGCCTCCCATGAGCAATCCCAACAGAGACACCACATCAGACACGGCAGAAGAGTGACTGAGAGCTGGTGGCTGGAAATGGCCACACAGGGCAGCAGCCCTCACAAAGTGACTCTGTCCTCATCGGCTTCAGTTGATCTCCGTTTATTCATAAACGTGCATTAGTTCTCTACCATTTCATCCATGTATATAATCTATTTTCATCAGAATCACCCCACCCTCCTCTTCTATCCCCTCCCACTCCCTCCCACCTTCTTCCCAGCGCCTTCCCCCGTCCTTCCCTCTGACTTCCGAGTCTTCTTTTAATGGCCTAGGGTTGCTTGCATGGGTATAGGTATGGGGCTACTTACTGGTTACTGGACAATTTGGCAGTCACACAGGCCATGTGTTGCCCGGTGGTTCTGGAGCGCACATGCAGCACCAGTCTCTCTGGGTTGACCTCAGGGTGCCTGCAATACTTGCATTCCTCGATGAAGGCTCTAGTGAAACCTGTCCCTTGTCTCCCTCTTCAGTGTCTGGACGCTGTTTGTGGTTTACAGCTCATGGGCACTCCTGTTTCCAAAGCTGGCAATAACAAGCAGATCCCATCTCGCACCTGAGTTCTTCCCTCCTCTTTCTGCCTCACCCCTCCAGCCCAGCTCAGGAAGGGTCTCTGGTTTTAAGACTGGACCAGACAACCCAGGATGTCTTCTACCACCAGGCTATCTAAAGGACCCAGGCTCCCTATGCACACCCACTTTCAGCTGTCACACCAGGGAACCCCCCACTGAGACTCAGAGAGCAAGTGTGGGGTCCTTGTAGCCTGGGGTTAAGGGACATAGCCTTCGCTTCCTGCTGGGGTTCTATAGGCAGGTAAAGCACCCGAAGAATATATTGAGAAAGAATATACAGGTCTAACACAGCCAGCTGGTGGCTGGAGACCTCAGAAAGAGGAACGAGAATTACAAATGAGACCCACCTCAATGCCACATCAAATCACCCAGCAAGAGAAAAAGGCAAGAAGCGGAGCCACACCATCCCACACTGCTGCTCAGGAACTCACATTGACCTCCTTAGGCCTGGGTCGGCAAACATACCGTGTTTAGCTTAGCTGCTGTCTCAAAACCTGTGTTCCCTTTACCTTGTTAAATACCATAACGGACATGTCTCAGAGACATTAAGACACATAAACATTTATATAGCCGCTTTTGATTTAAGTCAAAACACAGTTTTAAGGCACATTGTGAGTGTGGGAGTAGATGGGGACTATCTGGGGGGAGAAGGAAAAGCAAGAGATGGGGAGGGGAGCGAGGGAGGAGAGCGAACACTAGTGAGTTAAAGTGAAGTACGTTTGAAAATGTCATAATGAAACCCATTATTTTGCATGCTGACAAAACATGGAAAATAAAAATAAATAAATAAACCCTGGCTGTTATTATGGAGATATTAAATTTGGCATGCTATTCTCTTTCATACAGCGTAAATTGCCAAGAAGGAAAAAGAGCAACATAAAGGTGGCCTCTGGAACACCTGGCGTGCGGCAATGTGACTTAGGCTGAAAGCTGGAGACTTAATTAACCCTGCCACAGCACAGCAAAGGTTGTGACCATATGGGAATAAAACAGAAGAGAGAGAAATTATGCCTGTGTCTATAAGAACAGCATTTTTAAGCCGCTAATTTAGGAGCAAGCAAAGCATTAGAATGAGAGTAAATCCATTTTTAGTCTGCATTTGTTGGAAAAATATAATATTTTGAGCTACCAGAAAATGCAGCAGTTTAAAAGGAAAATAACTATAAATGCTTTCATACAAAATTCTAATTTGCAAACCACCTAGATTTGCTGCACATACTAAAATGTTAAAATAACCAGCTTTTTATGAAGGAGGTTAGCAAAAAGAGAGATTGGAGGAAATTGAATAGGATTGTGGATTTGGTTTGTTGTTCAGCAAACAGGCATCAGGACTAAGAAAGAAAACAAGGCAGAGTGCCACAAAGCATCCCTAGACCAGAGGGGCTTGTAAGAAGGGAATTTTCTTTATGTACAGAAAGAAATTCTGTTCTGTACTCCAATCAGTTAAGTCGTGGTGAATCCTCGAGTTATGCAAAGAAGAGTGAAAGAAAAATGTCTAACTTGGCTTGGGAGAAATGAACCCGGCTCTCCACATCTCAGTTTCTGACTCACATAGCTTTCAGGAGAAGATGGCTGTTGAGAAAGGCTGGAAGAAGCACAGACACATCGATCTGTCTGAGATCACCCCTGCCCTGCTGGGTTTTTCACCGCTGGACATTGCAGATGTTCAATGATCCATGCAGATCTGCGCTCTTGACTAGAAATTTCACCTTCAAGAGTAAAAGTCATTACAGTAATGGAGCAGCCCATGGGGGATCCCAAAGACAGTTGAAGAGGACAAAAGAGAATGGGGTGCACAGAGTCCAATTGTCTTCTCACACTGTCATGGAGCACACACAGGTGATATGGCATCGACAGGGTGTTCCCACCTGACAGGATGCCTGCACAGTGAGAGACCCTTCCCTTAGGATACTCTCTTGAGTTGCCCCTTCCTGAAGCTGCTTCACCAAGTTTTCTAAGATCCTCTGCTGGCCAAGAGACTAGAAATGATGAATGCCAAATGATGAATGTTCAAAGCAGCTTAGGTGAACCACCAATGGCAGCACTGGGGACCCTGTGGCACGAATGCCATTGTTTTCATCAGGTAGTTCCTTCAGTAGTCTTTCAAATGGCACTGTCTTATGATGTCAATGACAGTGTTTCTTCTGTTTGGCCATGGAGGGTCCATTTGTGCATGTGAGGTTTCATTGGATCTGATTTAAATCCCTGGGACTTTATTAAGTAACTAAAAGAGAGAGAAGAAAAAGGACACCATTTCCTACACCAAGGGTTCTGCAAGACAAATGACATGTGCTTAGACGGGGTGCTGAATGAATTGCACATATTTCATTCCTCTGTAGAGTTGCTTCACATGGGGTAATCATGGAGGACATGTCAGGAAGCATCTTGGAGTATCAGCCTGAGACCAAGAGCATTAATAGCTGAAAGTGGCAGAGGCCAAGGGCTGGAGATGTCAGCCTCAAGAAAGGCGAGCAGCCCTGTGTGTCTCAATCATCAATAAAAGGGTAAATTGGAGAGGACACAGGTAGCTCGGACTCAGGATGTGAAGATTTGGATGTGACACAAGGTAACAGGCATGGAATACACAATGCTTTACATAAGTGGAAGAGATCCAACCTGTCCCTTGTAGTCTAGGAAGATGAGAGACCAACACCACACAGTTGTGAGCTGAATCTTTATCCTTCTCAAAGCTGCAGCTGTGGGCCTCCACTGCAGCAACCTCCATCTCACTCTCTCCCCATAGGTTGTCAGCCTGCAGACCAGATCAGAACACTCAGTTAACTGTGTTCCCCAAAAAGATATACCAAAGACCCTGCCCCTAGTACCTGTGAAAGCAAGCATATATAATTAAGAGGCAAGCTGAGATGAAGTTGTATTGGAACGGAGTGGTCCCTCACCCCAGAGGACTGCTGCCATTAAGAGATGAGAAGACACAGAGAGCCAGGAGCATTTAGAGGAAAGACATGATGTGAAGACAGACACCGTGGGGAGTGCTCCACAGGTGGACAGGCAGTGTGGAAAGCACCATGTGAAGATGCAGACAAAGGAAGAACACGGAATGAAAATTCAGACACACACAGGGAAGACGTCACAGGAAGGACAGACACACAGAGAAGTCCTCCATTTGAAGACAGACACAGTGCAAAGACATCACAACTACTACAGAGATAGAACCTGAGAGAGCAGAATTAACACAGTTGGAAGCTAAGGACTTCCAAAGATGCTTAATAGCACTGGAAGCTGGGACATGAACCTGCTGGTGCTGTATTTGGTTATCTTGTCTCCGAATTCCAAGAGAATAAATACATCATTGTGAGCCACCTGGCCTGTGGTGCTTTGTTAGTGTCCCTGGGGGCAGTGTGGCACCTAAATATTTCTTGAGTGAACCTCAGACCAGCGATCCAACCTGGAATTCATCTCACCTGCCAGCCTAGTCACACCCCACTTGACCCAGGAAGAGCACAGTCTCCAGAGCTCTTCCTCCAGCTTTCCATCCAGAGTGAAGTAAAGGTGACATAAACTATCTGCTAAACAGTAAAATCGGGCTGATCTCAGGCTCACATAATCCGATAGAGAAGGGTGTGGCTCTGAACATTAAAAAGAGATGAAAAGACACCCACTGCTCCTTTGAACCCTCCCTGTCCCATCCCCCACCTCCTGTGAAATAGATGCCCAGTGACTTCAACTGCCCACTGTTTACATACAAACTTATCCCAAAAAAATACATTTTAGAGTTAGTAAACCAGAAAGATGCCAGTGCAGAAAACTGAGAAGGCAGAATCCAGAGAAAAGGGGCTGCCTTCTGAAAAAAAAATCACAAAAACTAAGGCCAAGAAACAAGGATTGTCCTAGAATTCAAAACATCTTGGGAGAGTTTGTTTGCCAACAACAAAAACTCAATAAAAGGACTAAACAGAGGAGCCTCAGGAGAAAGGAAGAGAAGACAGGGGAGGAGGTGGGGCACTCTGACTGTAGCCAGCATCATGTGAGCTGACCACACACTGTCTCAATTCTCATGAGGGGTCTGTGAGATGAATATGATTACACTTCACTTTGCGGATGGGGAGACAGAGGCATGAAGAGCTGAACCTATCTGTCCACGCCACACAGCTGACATGTGGAAGAAATACGCTCACCACTCTAGAGATTTGCTTTTGTCTTTTTGCTTTTCAGAATTCCCTGAGGTAAGGAGAGTTGAGTCTTGATGTTCTGATTAATTCATATCTGCACATGAGAGGAACAGTCAAGAGAGTCAAACTGAAAATCAGACACATTGGTTCTGGTTTGGATTTTTAATATAAACAGTGGGGAAGCAAGTAGATATATATCCACAACACACACACAAACCTATACACAATACACATAATCCCCCAACACATATAAAACACACACGGCATACACAGAAACACATAAAACCCACATACAAACCTACACATAACACGTATAACCCCCAACACACATAAAACACACACAGCACACACAAAACCACACAAACCTACACACACCATACATAACCCCACATATACACAACACACACACATACAACACACACCAACACACATATAACACACACCAACACAAGTACAACACACACAACATACACATACAACACACACAACCACCCCCACACAGGCAAATACACAAACATCCAACATACACATACAAACACACAACACACAAACACAGGTACAACACACACACACAACATACACATATAACACAGACAACCACCCTCACTCAAATTCACAAACACACAACATATACACACAACACACATATACACACAACACAAGCACATACAGCCCATATACACAAACATACAAAACACACAACACATTAACACACACAAACACAAACATACACAAGTCACACACAAAAAAAATACACACAAGCACACATAACACACACAAACACACACACACACACAACTTTTCTTTTCAAGCATCTTTGCTCAAATGTGAAGAAACTAGACAATAATACAAGAAGAGCGAATCAGCTGAGGAAAACGATAATTTTCTCTGCCTTTGAATCTCTAAGTATTTGGCACAATCCTTAAAAATAGTTCAAAGCTATTTTCCCTTACCAGCTGTAAGTTAAATATTAGAAGTGAGCATCCTCATTGTGGAGACAGGCACAATGCAAGAACGTAAAGCTGTCATTTCAAAGCAGATTCTCTTTCTTCTGCAGCTGGTATTTTGTGAAAGAAATCGGGAACTCGGTGCTTTTCTTCATGCTCATGTGTAGACTTTGTGTTGCAGTGCTCACAGCCTGAAGTGAGATGTCTCTCTGTAGAAGATTTCAAATAATGCTTCACTCAAAGCATGGGTGGAGTGCTGGCTGGGGCCTGGAGGCCATGAATATTCACACTGCCATCCAAGCTCTGCCACCATCCTGGGGTACCAGTTAGAACCCAGGTCAGTCTCTAGAAATGGAAACGCACAGAGATATGTTGGAGTTAAGCTGAAGAGTTTACAGAACATAGTTGGTGGAACAGGCTGAATGGTGGCCCTCCAAGAAACGCCTGCTGCCTAGAACCTATGAACCAGACCTTAGGTAGAAGAATGGTCTTAGCAGAAGTAATTGTGGCGCTTGAGATGAGATTATTCTGGAATGCCTGTGTGAGTCCCAAACCAATGAGAAGCATCCTTATAAAAGGCAGAGAGAAGACATGGACTAGAGGGAAGAAAATAGAGGATAGAGCCAACCTCAGGCTTGTGTAGTAGTCTCCCCCAAACTACCAAGGAGTCCCCATGAAAACCACCTGTCAAGAGCACACATCCCAGTGACCTAGAATCCACGTCCCAAAGATGCCACGGCACTTCCAAGAGTGCCACACTGGAGACCACGATTCCGCCTGTGATGGGCCCCGAGGATCCCTTACACCACACTCGAACCATCGCAGTGAGAGAGAAGCAGGCCACGTTCTTGTACATTCTGTGCACTATCAGCTGGTATGCAGGTGACAGTTCTCCACATCAAGCACTGTCTTCACGTGCCACCCACCCCAAGTCACTTAATCTTTATAACCAGTGTGGAGGGGATGCGCAGCCTGACAGATGGGAAAACTAACACGCAGAGAAACTGATGAATGTGCTCACGATTGCCAAGAGGGATTCACCACCCTAGAATGCCTGCCATCGCCGGGTTTGCTTTCTAGGGCTGTGCACACAGTAACGTAGACCAGAGGGCTTCACCTTTCTCGTGCTTCTGAAGACCAGAAGTCCAACAGGGTGTCGCTGGCCAGGTTAATCCTTTCTCAGGGCTGAGAGGGAAAGAGCTCTTTAGTTTGTATACAGCCACCTTCTCAAAGAGTAGTTTTGCTTTTTCTTCATTTTATTAAACAAGAAAGTTCACCTGTGTCCAAATGTCCCTTTCTATGAGAATGCTAGCAGCATTAGACTACAGCCTGTGCTAATGATTTCATTTTACATTGGTTACTTCTGTAAAGACCCTGTCCCCACATATGGCCCCATTCTGAGGTCTCAGAGGTTAAGATTTCAGCATATGAATTTGGGGATATCACAAACTCACGATTGTTATGACACATTGGTACCTAGAATTAATTAATATTAATTAATTATTGAAAAGGTGAATTACTGTCCCTTTCCACCAGAAATCCTGGATCCTAAGGCACACCTCCACTGCTCCTCTCTTATTCCATGCAGATGAAGGCCAGTACAGAACCAGCAGGTTAGGAATGTCTTCAGTACATGTGAGCACATACACCACAATCAATTCCCAGCTCTGACACTTTTTTATCTGTGTGACTTTCACAAATACCTCAGCCTTTGAGACTGCCTCTCTCCTTTTCTGACCTCACATGACAATGGAGAGACTAACAAGAGCCTCTGAGGGAAGCGGGGTGCCTGGCAGGGCTTTAGACCTGCCTGCTCCTGTATTTATAACCACTCTCCCACCACACATCAGTTCCTGGGCTGTGCTGATACTCTCCCTCATGGACAGCACCACACACCCTCCCCTCAGCTTCCCACAGTGTTTCCAAATGATGCCACCCTCCACTGTACCATCACTGGGATCAGAGACTTTTCTCAGGAGCCAACCTTGATGCAGCAGAGGACTCCAGGTCTAGTAGCAGGACCGCCAAGCCTCAAGTTGCCCAAATGACGGGGCCCAGACATACAGCAAAATCTCAAGGCAGACACTTTGGGCCAGTGTCTGTGCCCAAAGAGATACAAATCAGGGGAGACCTCCTGGCTATTCTTTTGTCCCTCAAAACTCCTGTGAGCTTGACAGAGCAAATGCTGCTACGTTCGGTTTTGAAAGAGTGCAAGGACTTGATTGGGGCCAAGTCCAAACACAAGCTGATGACAGTGTCAGTGTCAAGGTGCACGACTATCAGAGACCACCAGTTAGCTCAGCTCCGTTGGCTGAACAAATACTGACTGACAACAAATAAAACTATTAGTCTCGGTGCCAGAGAACCGCAACCTGAACACGAGCTTTGAGACATTCTGTTCTCCATAGTCAGAGCACTCACAGGGAGAAGGAACAGACGTGTGTATAGTCTAGGAGGAGTACATCCAAGGTCCTAGAGAGACAGGACTTCGCCCTTCAAGTCCAAGGAAACCTGCGGAGACCTCGCCATGCAAAGACAGAAGGTGCTCCCAGGCATCTGGCTTGGGTGCCTGGGTAGATCATGGGTGCTCATCTGGACTGGTGGGTGCTGGGGATGAAGCCCTGGGAGGTGACCAGATAAAACAATGGTAGGTTTTTAATCTCCTCTGATGACTTACTCTCACATAAATGGTTAAGCTGGAGATTTGCATTCGGAAGTGGCTTGTTTGAACAGTCATCTTAGTGACCCATTTCTGTAGCAATTGTAGAATTGTATGTTATTGCATTAAAATAATATGATAATTTATCATTTCCTGTAGCATATATTTTAAGTACTAAGAGTTCATAAATATTCTGGGAAATGCCAAATTAAAAAAATACTCCAGATTTTTGCATTCTTCTGCTAATCACTTTCTTAAAATAGTATTTACCAGTGAAGTTGAGATGCAGTATGGCTTATTTTATGCAGAGAAGATCTCCTCCTGGGAATAAACTAGGTCATCTGAGCACCACAATGGAAAATTTGTAATTTGTCTGTTATTGTTTTATTAATAATTTTATACTTCATAGACTTTCACTAAACTATACAACAGACTTGAAATTGCAACAAGCAACATTTTTCAGTTTTTTTTCAAACTGACATCTTAAGTTTCATTATTCTTTACTATTATTAAAAATATACAAATGGTTTTACTTATCAGGAAACCACTATAATATGAAACAGAAACAAAATGCATCATAGGATTGCCATGCAAAGGTTGGCGAACATCAATTCCAGTGTGACATCTGTTACTTCAACACCAGTCTTCTTCTGTACAGGATTAGAACTCTGTAGTTTTCTTAAGGCAAAGGTTTATGTGTGCTGTAGTAAGTCGTTTCCCATGCTCCTGAGACACCTGTTTTGATGCCCACACAATGTAGGTTTTGGCACACCACCGAAGGTCACTCAGCCCTCCTCGGCCCTGAGTGAAGGCAGGAACCTTTAAACATGACCTGCCCTTCCTGCAGTTCTCTGCTCTTGTCTTCCCTCTTCCTCTGGCCACGCTCCTTGCTGGACTTTCCTGATGAGGGTTTCTCTTGCTGTTCCCTTGCTGGGCCCTGGGTCTGATCCTGGAGACACCCCAGTTGGTGTCACACTCAATTTCACTATCTGTCGCTCTCTGGCGGCACTGCTGTCTTTCTGAGTGCCGTCTCCAACGTGAAAGGCAAGGCTTGGTACAAACAGGACTCTCAGCAAGTGACGGAGTGAGAGAATCTGGTATGACATACACAGGGAGCCTGGGGCCTCCTCCATGCTCAGTTCTAGAACTGGAAGATGAGAGAAATTCGCTGATCTTCTTTCTTGGCCTTTTGTATGACTTTTCCATTTTTCTCTCCTGCAATCAGTTAATATGATACAAGGATATGAGATCTGAACCCTGAGATCCAGAACTACAAAGCACAGTGCTTATAACTTTTGACCCTCAATGGACACCATGTCAAAAACCAAGTGTTGTGGGCTGGAGCTATGAATCTGCAGTTAAGAATACTTGATGCTCTTGCAGGAAACCCAGGTTTGGTTTTCAGCACCCAAATGGCAGCTCACAACAATCTCTAACTCTAGCACCAGGGAATCTGGTGTCCTCTTCTGCTGTCAAATGGCACCAGGCATCCACATAGTGTATAGACATACATAAGCAAAACACTTACATGCATAAAATATAAATAAATATTTTTAAAATTTTAAAATAAGTGTTGGGGTAAATCATAGCCACCTGTCAGGGTGCTGTGGAAAGTTTCTTGTATGTTTAAATGAGATCAGGGGTCTTAGCCTTTGTTAGGGTGATATCTGCCTCCTCAAAGATATAAAAATGCCTTGTAATCATCTATGAAGTTTCCATATTTAAGCCAAGTGTCAGCTTTCACCATATCCTGCTACAAAGCACTGAAGGCTACTGCTGTGGGATAATGCTCTTGTACATTGTAAAGATTTGTTACTCGAACTGATTTAATAAAATGTTGATTGGTCAGTAGCCAGGCAGGAAGTATAGGCAGGGTGACCAGACTAGGAGAATTCTGGGAAAAGGAGGGTGGATTCAGGAGTCGTTAGCCAGACTCAGAGGAAACAAGATGAGAATGCTGCACTGAGAAAAGGTACCAAGCCACCTGGCTAAACAGAGATAAGAATTGTGGGTTAATTTAAGTACAAGAGTTAGTTAGTAATAAGCCTGAGCCATCAGCCAAACATTTATAATTAATATTAAGCCTCTGAGTCAATTATTTGGGAAGCGGCTGCTGGGTATTTGGGAGCAGGCAAGCAAGAGAGAAACTTCCACCTACAGGCTTCCCTTGCTTAACTCCCAAGCCCAGTTCCACGATGAGCCAGGCTTTGCTTCTGTTAGAGTGGTAAAATAGACCAGGCCCTCAGACTTCCAGCCCCAGGTCAGGACTGTTGAACTCTGCATGCTATTGGAAGTAGTGTTGCATGGTAATCCCACCAGACACTCTTAAAGCCAAACAGAAAGTCTGTTGTAACATGAATCTTAAAACATCTTATTAATAAAAAAACCTGAAGCCAGATATTTGGGGTAAATTCTGAAAGATCAGAGAAACAGAACAAGCCACAGCTAACGTCACCTCACCAATTCCTCAGCTGAATTGGTTTCCTCAAACTGGAAGCCTCTGTGTCCTCATCTGAATGGATCTCAGCTGAACTGTGCTGCTCAAAGCCTAAAAGCTTAACAAGGCTCTAGTTCCTGGTCCATCACTAGTTCCATCACTTCCTGGGATTAAAGGCGTGAGTCACCATGCCTGGCTGTTTCCAGTGTGGCTTTGAACTCACAGAGATCCAGATGGATCTCTGCCTCC